AAGAAGTCTCCCACCCCCAGTCACAACCCGCCCTGCTGATGTTCCTCACTTCCTTGGACGAGTTCATGCATCTGCTGCTTATACACCACCATGGATGAGGAGACATTCTTCTCCAAGGCATTACTGCCACTTTCTGATCCACCAGCTGTCTGTGCAGCATTCAAAGTCGAGCTAATGACTTTAAACAAGCGCTTAGTGGGAGGCAACCCACCGGTAAGTTTTATTTTCTATAGTTCGTATTTATTTTTCGTACATATAATTATTTAGTTAGTTATTCAGCTAAAAAAAAAACCAAAAACATGGGAAAAATCGAAAAAAAAAAGAGTCAGTTTGCTTTGATGATGTTTTGTGAACTTGTTGAACCATGGGTTATGCTTCGTTTGGATGTTTTTGATGTGTGTTTTGAGTTAGCGCTTTTAGCTTTCTGAACTTTAGATCAATCAACAAAAATCCTCTGCTTTCATTATTTTAGCTATTTCGCATTACATTCATTCATTACTGCTTAGCTTATCTGAACCTAAAATCAATAGTGTAGTAGCTTACTCTCTTGGGATTCGATAACCCTTTGTGTTACAACTGTGCACTTGCAGTAGTAAAATAATTGGGTAAAACTTAGACCATATCACCAACAAACACCAAAGGTGAAATCAAAGAAGCGCCAACAAGAAGGGAGCCAGTACAGCCGAAACCAATCTCCAAAAGGAAATCCCCTGAAAGAAGATCCATGAAGAAATGTGTAGCTAAGGATTGGTCGATATCGGGATAAGGGAATGGGTAGAAGTCGATATAGGAACAGGTAGATGAGAATTTACCCTCGTATGCATCACTTGGTCTGACCCTTAGCATTTTACATTTAGGCAAGTCCATTTCCTTGAGCGATCATTTAAACACTTAACCTTGGCACCACGAGTTCAATATTAACTCGCAGCTTTACCCCTAGCCAATAGAGTTGTCTGACGAGCACTTGCATGATCTGCGTTTTAAATTTGCTAATGAATATAAAGGGAAATGAGGAATTTGAATTTGCATATAGCCGAAGCAGGGTATTTCATCGTTTTGAGATGGGTATGGCTAAGGCCTTTTTGAGTAGGGAAGATCTGATTTCCATTTACTAGTGTTGACTTAGACGTTGAATTAATTTCTTACTCAATGGTATTTTTGACTTGAACTTACACCTTTGCTTTTAAACCTCACCCCTCTGGTTGGCTTCAGCTTGAGGACAAGCTAAAAGGCAAGTTTGGGGGTGTTGATATCTCTTATATTCACATCGTTTTCCTTGTCTTCTCATGATAGTTAAGCTAGGATTGTTGCATTTAGGTCCCAGTTTATGCTTTGTTTCCATTCATGTAGGTCTAGGAAGCATTAGTTAGAATTTTTGCATTGGTCTTGCATGTTTGGTGCTCTTTTCAAGTACGTGAACTATCACGGAGGTCAGGTGAAGGAAACCAAGGCACCCGGAGACAAAGAAGGATGACCAAAGGGGAAGCAGACAACGTCTTGCATCGCACCGGGAGGGGAGCACGGGCAAAGGACGTGACAAGCAGCACGGGGTGGCACTACGACGAAATACATCGGGATGAAGCCGATACACAAGCCAAAGTAGATGTTGTCTTGCAATACATCAGGCAAACATCATGGCAACGGCCCGATACAGACGACACGATTTGTACCACGACGTCAGCACACTCGCCACGGGCTACCTTGGCGGGATGAAGTCGTGATCCGTTAGCTTCCAAGCGAGTACCCATTTAGGAAAGTGGTCCCGCAAGCGTGATAGGGTGACCTCTATTCTATATTTCCCTATAAATACTTCCAACCATTCATTTTTTCTCCCAGTCGAGATTTTCGCATCTTTTCTTTTAGCTACCAAGCTCTTTCTTCTTTGTTTTGTATTTCGCCATTGTTGCGATTTTAAAACCTAAATTCTTAATCAAGTTTCTTTTAAGCAATATATTGAGTAATTGTTAGTTCTTTACTTTCTTGTTCCCTCGTCTCACGGTTAGCCGAGAATGAGATCTTTCACCCTCATGGGTTCCAAGACTCTTTCTATGGCACGTGAATAGTCACCTCGCGGGGTTTAGTGAGTTTACTTAAGGATATGGGGATTTCGGGTCTTTTATTTGCCTATCATGCACTGTACTTTTGATTTCTCCTTACTGGTTATGTTTAATGCTTAGTTTAGCCTGATCAACTAGATTAATAGCTCCCAGGCGCCTTGGCACGAACACCACGTGCTTGCTTAGCCAAAACTACCTTCAAGGGTAACGATGGACCCACCCTAAGAAATTAGTTGTGTGGAGGAATCTTACAGTTCTATGGGGATTGTGTTTTAGCCTTGTCTGATTCATTATACCGCGTTGCGAGAGCTCGTCTATGGTGGTGGATCTTACAAAGGACCTAGACCCAAAAACCATGAGCTAGGTAACATGTTAAGACTCCCTTTACCTAGAAATCACCATCAAAAGACCAAGTCTAGATGTGACCGAATGATAGTAGCAATGTTCTTAATCCAATGACTGAACCCCTAATCCATCTAACCCACTCTAACCCCTCACTTAATCTTATTAGCCTCAGCTAATCTTATTCGTCTTACAAATTGCAATCTATATTCTGCTTTACATTCAGCTTACTTTTATTGCTCTTTACCGTTTTAGGTTTATGAAGCCTTTTCTAATTTTTCTTGGTGTGTAAAAACTTTATTCTCACTAAACTGAACTTGACTTAAGAACTGTCACCTTGAATCTTAGTGAGCCTCACAAAACCCAAACTAGATTAATACCTTAATCCCTATACTACAAACGGTTATAACTAGGTTTAGGAATTGCTTAGCGAGAGAGTAAAGAAAACCTAGCTGTCACCTCCTCAGCTCCATAAAGACCTAAAATACAGTTCAAATGCAACAATGCATGCATTTCTAATTCTAATACACATTAAGTCTAATATGAATACAAATGAGATACTTTGGACATTAAAATAAAAGAAATGAGATGAAAACCTATGCTAAATGGGGTCTAAAATGATGCAATTATGCAAGCTATCAATATGATTATTATTGTCTAGGTTTGTGTGTTAATAAGTGTCAAATATTCCTTAAAATGATATTTATGTTTTTATGGGCAGAGATAATCTTCTTTATTGAGTAATTCATTACTCACTTCTCTCTTTTCCTTTTCTTCAGGTTAGGATGGAGATCTTATGTAGCTGCTTAAACTTATCTTGCATTATGTTGTTATTTTGGGAATCTTGTTTTATTTCATTTTATGGAAAGAATATTAGTTTTCTTAAGTATTATTTCATAGATTTTATGAGGTTTTAGTATGGGATTTTATGTATTGGTTGACTTCTTATGAAGATATTTTTTATAGTAAGAATGATTTTCAAAACATCATGGGTTTAAATACGTGTTTGAAAATGGAAAATGAATGTGGTTATGAAATATTCAGAGACGGATGTTATGCTTTGTAGCTCCTTTGTCTTTGTCTTTATGGTTCTCGTTTGCATATTTGGGTGTTATTGGCGATGTTCCTTTCTCTCCTCGGTTTCACACTTAGATCTGAGTCAGATTTAGGTGCTGGTGAAGTGGAAGGATCTTATCCTCTTTGTCGTCGATGTGCTAAGGCCTCCTTTTCAGCAATTGTGTAGTTTCGGCATACGAGTTTCAATGCTTGTCACAATTCTAGCAGTGGTTTTTTAGTGAATGGCCTTTTCTTCAGGAGCGGTTCTGGCTCTTTTGTTGTGTGAGTAAAGTTATGTTGCTGTTATTTCCTACCTTTCTTGTTCTGTTTTGGTTTTGGATTTTCCTATCTTCCTTAAGAGGTATAGTAGTGGGCTGTGTATTCCATGGTTGAAGTCTTTGTCGTCTTTATTTTTCATTGGTTGTGTAGCTTCTTGAATTTGGGTGCTTCTACTCAAGTTGGTCTCTTTAAGGCTTTGATGCTCTGCATTTGATTAGGTCTCGTTTTTGGGGTTCATCTTTTGGATAATATTCTGCTGTGATGGCATTTACTAGCATGTTGTTGTGGCTTTTTTAGCTGTCGAGTTAGGTATCCCACTAGCATGTTGTTATGGCATTTACTAACATTTTCTCTTGTGAGGAGATAACTAATTTTTTGCATATAATTGGTTGAGAATGGGTTTGCGAGTGTATGCTTTAAGACGTACTAGTTGGACCATCTCTATCGGGTAATACTTGAAAGATATCATAAAAAAAAAGTATTAATTTTAAAATCAAAAAAAAAGTTATACCAATCACGAAAAGACATGTATTAAATGAGATTCCTTTCAAAGTAAAACTAGGTTTTGAAACTGCTTAAATAAGAGGCGATATATCTTCTCTTTCCTGCTTTTTATTAATTAATAGTTTTTTTAGATAAGAAACCATAGTAAACAACCTCCGTTGGAGGTGCTCTTAGAGGTTTAAAGTTTTATTACTGTATATGTGTTTCGGTGCTTTGAAGAAGTTATGTTTGTAATTGCCAATAATTTTGTTATGGTATGTGCTTGTTTCTGAAAAAGTTTTTACGATCAAGTTTAATTGCATAATTATTATTTTTTAGATTAAATTCTAACGTCTAAAAATTTAATGAAAATAGTTATAGTTATAAACTTTTAATTGCTTTAATTTTTTAATGTTTCAAATAATTTTTTTTATATAAGAATTTTTTTAGGTTTATGTTTCTTTTATAGTTTTATTTTTGAAGATATCATGCTTTTTAATCACTGTATTTTTTATTTTTTTACTTTTACAAAAAAATAAATAAATATTTGAAGAAAAATGTGGTGTTTGATATTTTAATTTATGCCTCTTGTAACCAATAAACATCCACGTCACCACATAACTAATATATGTTTGCACAGAAATGTGGTTGGCCTTAGCCATGTTGGACAACATTATCCAGAAATCTAACATTTCCACCAATTGTTGACATCCTTCACGGTCCAAAGATTAACCAGAAAATGCAAGAAAATCTCCATCTCTGAGAACACACTTTATCTGAAAAATGGAGACCCTTCTCTCTCCTTGCTCTCTCTCTCCTCCTCTCAATCCCAAACTATTATCTTCTCAACAAACCAAACTAACTTCACATTCCTTGTCCTTCTCGAATCCCACTTTCGCCGGTTCTAAACACCTTTCATCCCGGTTTATCGCTAAACCAGAATCTTGGTTAACAGATGCAAAGCAAGGACTAGCTGCTCTAGCTCTATCTCTGGCTCTTACTTTCTCGCCTGTTGGCACTGCCTTAGCCTCTGAGTTCAATATCATCAACGATGGTCCACCAAAAGAAACTTACGTAGTCGATGATGCTGGTGTTCTTAGCCGAGTCACGAAATCAGATCTTAAGAAGCTCTTGTCCGATCTTGAATATCGAAAGAAACTTCGGCTCAATTTCATCACTGTCAGAAAGCTCACTGTGAGTTTTTTTTTTTTTTATATAGCTGTTCTTATGAAATGGGTTTTTTAGAAACCGATAACTTGAACCGGAACTGGTTTAATGCAGAGTAAAGCAGATGCGTTTGAGTATGCAGACCAGGTTTTGGAGAAATGGTACCCTTCGATTGAAGAAGGTAACAATAAGGGTATTGTTGTTTTGATCACAAGTCAGAAAGAAGGAGCCATCACTGGTGGTCCTGCTTTTATTGAAGCTGTTGGTGAAAAGATTCTCGATGCTACGGTTTCTGAAAATCTTCCCAGTATGAAACTAAAACTCTCTCGGTCTGGTATAGATTATACTGTGCATCCGGATGCTTAACATATCAAATCATTATCCGGATGCTAAAATTATTGCTCTTCAATCTTGATTTTGATTCGGATTTTCGGTTTTATAACCTATTACAGTGCTGATGGTCTGGGATTCGAATTTAATGAAATGTATCTATAGTTTTTCATATATTAGAAAAATTCTTGTCCTGCTTAACGGGTTACTATTACTTAGATTTTATATGTGCTCGATGACCCGACTGGTTTGATTAGTTCAATCATCAATACTTCCCTCTCGTTATATTTATCAGGACATGTCGTATAATGGTTTGTATTAATGTTGGTGCTATGTCACTACCCAGGTAACCTTACAATGAGGTAGGCATGGGCATTTGGGTCTTTGTGTCGCCTTTTTAGGTTTAAGGTATTTCGGGTAGGGAGGTTTAAAACTCATATACAGTGAAACTTTTATAAATTAATAATGTTGAGACTTTCAAATTTTATTAATTTATAAAGTTATTAATTAATTGATAAATTAATAATTATTAATTTATTGATATTTTATTAATTTATAAAGATATTTTTAGCTTAAATTTTTAATATTCATCAAAAAACAAAATCAATCTTTTTAACAAAAATGTCATGACAATAAATTTAAAAGATAAATCAAACAAATTTTATAAACTTGAAATAAAATTATTATCACAGTTTACTATATTATATTATTAATATATGTCTAAATATATAATTATTAATTTATATTATTATTGGGACCATATTTTTACATAGAACTTTCAAAAAAGTATTATCTTATCGAATTTTGTCAATTTTTACACTGGCCCATCTTGGGACCGGTAAAAATTATTAATTTATAGTGATTATTAATTTATCGAGTATTAATTTATAGAGGTTCTACTTTATGTATGTAGAAACTGAAAAAATTTCGATCTGGTTCTGTTTGGATAAGTTTTAGATCTAGATCGAGTTGGGGTATCCAAAATAAATTTTTTGTTTAATTTTTGATAAAATTCGATTTAATTTTTGACAAAATTTGGTTTAATTTTACATAAATAAAAACATTCGAAAAGTTCAGTTTTTCGTATATTAAGGTTATTTTTGTTTAAATATTTAGTGTTTGAATGTATGATGGCGCAGTACTAGCGACAGACGAAAAATACAATGAGGCTATATACAGCAGTGCGAAACGGTTGGTAGCAGCTATAGACGGTCTACCTGATCCCGGTGGTCCAGAAGTGAAGGATAACAAAAGAGAATCAAATTTCAAAACGAAAGAAGAGACAGATGAGAAGAGGGGACAGTTCAGTCTTGTCGTTGGAGGTTTGCTTGTAATTGCCTTTGTTGTTCCCATGGCACAATACTATGCTTATGTCTCCAGGAAGTAGTGACTTGGTTCACTCTCACATACCAAGCCGGTCAGGTCAGAACTTTGTGTGGCTATGGTAAATCGTTTTATTTGAGAAATATAACGAAATAATGACAGAAAAGCAAAAGAATGAATGAAACGAAACAATAGTAACGGCATTTTCATTAGAATTTTAAGTTTAGTAGATATGGCATTTGATCTGAAAACGGTGGATCGCAATACTTCCCGGTTAAGATTTGATTTGAAACAAACTGGTTCGCGGCTTCGGTATAGTGAATTCCATCCCAATTTATGTACTCGGAGCTATCGTTGCAAGCTCTGGTCGTTACTGATGTCCCATCTAAGACTTTAGTTTGGCCACACAAAATGCGACTATCGTAATTTAGCGGCGCCCCTCCAACTCCACAACATACCATTATTGGGTTTTCGAAACCTGAAAAAATCAAAATTTGTTGATAAACCAAAATAACCAACATTTCTCAAGACGGTTATAATCAAAAAAGTATTTTGAAATTTGGAATAATATAGCAAAATGCTTACCGAAACGAGAATAATTAGCGATGAGATTGGATTTGATAGAGAAGATATCGACGTAAGTAACATTTGTATCAGGGAATTGGGCTTGGAATTTGTTTGAGAGAGCATGGAGTTGAAGATTGAAGAGTCTGGCTGCTTGGTTATGGGCACTAACACATCCAAACTCATCAAGTTTTGTTGGATCTGTCCCAAATTTAGCAATATTTTGAGCCAAACATCCTAAAGGCCCTGTGTTGTGTATCCAAAAGTTTCTACCTCCTTCTTCATACAACCTCTGCCAAATTAATTTGAATTCAATTTAGGTTTTATTTTTAAATAGATAGATAAGTACAAAATCTGAAAATTTGATTCGGTTTGTATGTTTTCCACCTATGAAAAATAATAATGTGATTGAAAACTGATCGAATATGAAAAAGAATAGTCAGATTAGATAGATAGTCTAAATTTGATATTTTTGTGGATGATGCAGATGCAAAATCGTATACTACATGAAATTTTTGAATGAAATGACGCGATAATAATACTATTTGTTTAGAAGGCACACAATCATCTTACACCACATTTTTGCAAATAATTGCCCAAATTAGTCTATCTAGTTACCGTTTTAGGTTTTAGATGAGAAAATAAAATAAAACTCATCTTAACTTTCTCAGAATTTGTTTAGTAAAAAATTCTGAAATAGTGATTTACCTTAAGTCCAGCTTCAAAAGTTTCAAGAATTGAAGGGATAGAGGCAAGAACTTGGTCAAAGGTCTTGGAGTAGAAGGCACCAGCTATATCATTTTGGCCTATATCAATCATGTATAGCCCTTTTGAATAATAATCAACCGGTGGTAAATACTTTTCATATTTCTTTCCTGCAAAATTCATCAAAGAAATTTTTGCTTCATTTATACATCATATAATATTACACATCACATCCCACCAACATAATTTTCAAATCAGCCCCACCTGTTTTAGCAAGTAGTTCAAGAGCCCTAGATTTGAACCGGATAAATTGAGATATTTGAAGATTAAAAGAGAAGGGAGAGACCGAGGTCGGGTTTGCAGGAAGAATGGTGGATCCTGCTGCTGCAAAGTTACACCCTTTTTTGAAATTTGGTAATCCTAATGAATCCAAATATGGATTTAGAAATGGCATCTCCATTGCATCCACTGCACAACACAAACACACATATCAAAACAATTTCTACGAAGAGATAACCAAATCAAAGGAAGCCATTTGGATAAGGAGCAACATAAGTTTGTTTGGATTTTGTAATGATGTATACATAGAAAATCTACTATGAGACGGCCGTCGCAATATCTTCCTGAGGGAAGCTTGAAGTAAGTCTGGCCATAAGGAGGATTAACATTTTCAATCCCAGCAGAGATGAGATTTCCCGTGTCGGAATTGGAGTCCCCCAAGTTGATGATTGCCGGATATTTTAGGATAATGGAGAGAGACGAGGGCAAGAAAAAAATGAAGATGAAGATGAATAGAACATTTGAGAGATTTTTGACAATGGGAGCCATAGCATTGGACTTGAAAAGAAACAGTCGAGCCATATGTAATCAAGTGAACGATATAAATTGTTTTTTACTCCTATTCGCTAAAATAATTGATTTTCTATGTATTATGATAAATATACCAAACTGAAAAATAAAAGTTTGAAGTGTCTACAACAACCATGACAAACTTTTTAGAATATGTTTAACTAAAAACTAGTTTATATATGTATGCAACCTATAGTTTTTGTATAGTTCCGTTCGGTCCGAACATTTTTTTTTTCATGGCAACATTATTAATATTCTTGCACCAAAAAAAAAACATTCTTAATATTCTGCTTTGAAACTAAAAATGTTGCAGTAGTTTTAATAAATATTCATCAAAAAGTAGTGCAAATTGAGATATGCTTTTGAAACCTTTTTATCAAATAATAATAAGAATAATATGGCGAAAATATGAAATATCAACCACAATTCCACGTTTATTGTTTAAGATATATATATATATATAATATATGTATATTTTAATTTGATCATAAAGTATACTATTTTTCTGTTAGTTTTAATTTGCGGATCCTATATTTACTATTTAGTAGTTTGTGGCTGATTGGAGTAATAAATAGATAATGGGTCCATCTTTTTGATCAGTCTGTAAATGGATCTATTATATTGATTACAGTTTTTTTTGTCGTCTTCTATATATATATATTGATTACAATTAAAGTTTGGTGGAACAGTAGAGAGACTTGACTTCTAATTAGTTTTTTTGTCAACGGCTTAATAAATTAAATTTGATGCTGATCAAATTTCAGCTTTATAATCAAAAATTACTGCTATTCAATTTCAGTGTATAATACATACTTTTTCATAATAAATTAGAATTAAGAATGTTCTGGTGAAACATGTATCTTCGGATCGAACATAACTATACGAATCAGTTTGCTTTCTTTTGTCAATTAAGAAATGGTCTAGAATATAGATATATATATATATATATATATTTTGTTTTTCTTTTTTTTTTATCAAAAAATAAGAATATATTTAGTTCAAAAATGATTTATGTATCAAACTGAAAAAGTTAAATATAAAGTTTCGAGAACATGACAAAAAAAAAAAAAAGTTTCGAGAACAACCATGACAAACTATCAAATAATGGTTTGTAGTATTTAAAACCTTATTTACGTATGTTACAGAAATCATTAATTTCTTTTGTGATGATATTTTAAGAAACGAGTTTTAAATTGGACTGAGGTCAGATTCGAAAATGATAACATATATAAGGTTTTTTTTTTTGGAACTTTAATATATATAAGGTTGCTTCGAGATTGCTTGGTGGTTGCTTCGTGAGGAAGGTTCATAGAGATAAAAAATTTATTGATAGGGATGATTAGTTAGTTTGGTACCGAACAAAGAAATTTGGACACATTTGCGTTAGTGTCGTTGCGTTTTCATTTTGCTAATGAGATTATTGTGTATTTTATTCCCAGATGTTTGTGTTGCGCTTTGCATTTTTCAGCCAAAAAAAACTTTTGTGATTCACGTTTGTGTTTACGATTTGCAGAAGTTGTTTGATTAAAAGTATTATATTGTGTTTTACTTAAATGCAAACACAACATAAATATAAACACTAGATTTTGAAATAATCCAGGACTTTAATTTGAAGTTTTATCCAACTAGTTAGACCAAAAAAATAATGATTTCAAGTTTTATCAAGCTTTCAACTTTCAGTTAAGATAACTATATTTTTGATATGGGTAGGTAAACTCAACATCTACTGATTATAAATTAAATATTTTCGATAAGTTGTAGATGAAATAAAAGTAGAGCTTCCTTATTTAAGTAACCAAGTTTTTAAAATCGGAAGAAGAAAACTGTGATCAAGTTATATAGTCATAATATCTTGGAAGGATTTTGGTACGGGATATTTGATACTATAATATCTACAATTCATGATTATATTTTGGACATATTAGGTTTTTAGATGCGATTTGCAAAAAAAAAGGATAGCCACAAAATGTTGTATTTAAATCACATCAAAAAAAATCAAATATAAAGTTAGATAATAATCGATTTTGTAATCGATTAACGAATAAACCTATTTTTCTGAAAGTATCGTTAAAATCTATTTTGCTGTATTTTTCTCGGTATATAACACATATATCTGCTTATATAATAATTTATGTTTTAGTAATTATATATAATATTTCTGTAATCACTCTTTGGAATTAATGGAAATTATTTGACAAAAAAAATAAATAGTTAATAAGTAATGTATATATGTTTCGCGTGTGATTTAGACATATATCATAATATAATGTAACTATGTACTATTATCGGTCAAACAACATGATATTTGTTTTGATATTTTTATCAAAGACAACATGATATTTGTTAAAAACATAGTAACGTATATAAAGACGTGATACATAAACTAATGTATATATTATTTTAACATTCTTCGTTTCTTGCAAATAAGAAATTAAAATAGGTCTATCTTGTGCATATTTCTCATAAATGTTTTGAGTAGAGACATTATCGATTAGATGAAATTAAAGAATTAGTATAGATAACCGCTAAAATGAGAATAAATTGAGAACTTACTTAGATAATCTATGAGAAGACGTCCATCACAGAATCTTTGGGAAGAAATTTTGAAGTAACTTTGTCCGTTAGGAAGGTCAAGATGAATGCCAAGGCCAGCAACGAGGTCACCGGTATCGGAATTGGAATCTCCGAAATTAAAAGCAGACAAATAGTTGATATTAACGGAGTTTGATATCTGTAAATAGGTAATAAATACAAAGACGACATAGAAGATTCTCATCATTAACGAGAGCACTGTGTCTTGTTTCAAATTGGCTTTTCTGATTTATACTTTCTATTTGCCAATATCTTCTTAAATGTGTTGATGCTTTGAATTGGGGAAATAGGAAAATACCATACAAGCAAGATTGTTGCTTTGAATCTCGCTTGCAAGGCTCTCTCTCTCTCTTCTTTATCTCTCACTCAATACAGAAACTGTAGCATCCGTATCCGAGAAAATCTGGAATGATCGAGCCGGACAGGAAGTTGTCCGAAGGAATGTGAGTTCAGTCAAGGGAAAAATCCGTATGGATGGGAGGTTTAGACTATAGTCGATGGATGATTGGGAAATAATCGAAGGATGGTCGGGCTGGCCAAGCAGGACGGACCATATCCGGGAGAAAAATGGTTCTGTCCGGGAGAAAGTGGATTATGTCCGAGAGAAAGTGGATTATGTCCGAGAAGAAATAGATTATGTCCGAGAAAAATAGATTATGTCCGAGAGGAAATAGATTATGTCCGAGAGAAATGGATCATGTCCGAGGGAAAAAGGGAAATAGCCGAGGCTTTGTGGTTTTAGCCGAGTAAAAATGGGCTGGGGAGTTTGGTCGGATAAAAACTAATTTCTCGTGGGGATTGTCGAGCGGTTTAGGCGATATCCGAGAGAAATCAAAGCTGACCGGGATAAACCTTACTGGAACCGGGAGACACCGGCTATAACCGGGTTAACTAGGTTTTGCGAGCATATAAAAGGGATTTTGAGACTTTTTCTCGAGACAGCCGCATTATTTGAGAGAAATATCGCGTGAGAGAGAGATTGGTCGAGAGAAATTCCATAGTTTCTGATTATCCTGAGAGTTGGCCGAGAGAGATCGAAGTTTCGCCGGCGATTCCGACTATCACTGAGAGATCGAGTGTTCTGTCCGAGTTTCTGTGGATAGGTTTCGATCATTCGTCCTGATTTGAGGGTTTGCCGAGGGAATAACAGAGTTTATCCGAGGATTTCTGAGCGGATCGTGTGATATCCGAGAGCACTTCGATTCGTCCGAGTGAATCTTGTAAGTGTTCGGCTATTCTGATTTCTGTTATGTTTCTGTCGAGTAACTTTGGACTGATCGATCTGAATTATACTGTTTCCGAGGGAATACAGCTTCTTGCCCGAGAAAAAGTGACCGGGTTGAGAGATAGCCGAGAGGTGTGGAGTTTTAGCCGGACCAGTCTGAGCGATAGCCGAGAAATTGCAAGTGTGTCTGAGTATCTCAGTTTCTGATCGAGAAATCACCGAGATTCTTTCGACTGAAACGTTTGTTTCTGTGTCTAAGGTGAGTGTGTGACTGTAGTCTGTATCTAGAATTGTTGGATTGCTAGGTTATCTGATTTTCATTGATTGCTTGGGTAAGTTAGTGGTTTCTGCTTAGCAAGGTCAATGTTTATGTGATTGTGAATAGTTAAGTGTGAACCGTGGTCAATACTTGATGTCTAACTAGCTGTGTGAATGTCCGGATCGAGTTACTAGCTCAAGGGGATGTGTGAATCTCGCTTGGAGCAGTACCGATGCCTTGTGAGGCTTCACAAGTAGTTGAGATGATCATAGGACCGTACTGTTTTCTGTACTTGCTTGCTAAGTGATAATGTGAATTGTATAACTGATAGTATGATGCATTTTCTGGTACTGGCTAAGGTGTTACGGGATGACCGTATTCACTAAGTATTTATCAAATACTTATGCCTCTCTGTTTGAGTGTGCAGGTAAGGATAAAGTCCAGGGCGAGTAGCTCTGAAGGCGGACTGGAAGGCAGTGAAGGAAAGGGGTGGATTAGGACTGGGTTTTGGGATTCATATTCTGAGTTTGAGTTTCTATTTAAGTACTTGTGTTAGTGCCTTATGAGTTGAACCGAATCTGATAAGTTAGTTTGTTATTGAATCTGAATTATGTTAAGTGTTTCTGGAATAATTATGCAATGAGAATGGATGTCTTTTGATGAATCGAACTTGTTTAAGTTTAAGAAAAGTTTTTAAAATATGCATGTTTTTGTATTCTGGCCAAGAGAAGACTCGGTGAGGTTCGGGCTGGTCTAGTGATAGACGGTCGGGTCCTCACAAGTTGGTATCAGAGCATGGTCGATTCTAGGACAGTTCATTTGCATAGTTGGGGTTAGAGTCTATCCACCTTTTCACTGTCAGGTCTCGCAGTCTGTTGTTCTGTAGAGTGTGAAACTCTAGTCTGGGGTTAGCTTCGGGCTAGCCAGTTTTTCTGTTTGACAAATGGCTCCCAGAAAGAGAACTGCAAGAGCTCAAGTGAATGGTGAGGAGAACACTGAGAGTTCTGGAACTGAGAATGTGGTCATGGACCAGCAAGTGAATGCCGCTGGGAATGCTGCAAATGTGACTGCGGCCAATGCTGGAAACGTGGCAGGAAATGCTGCGGGAGCACAACCAGTTGGGTTGGAGGCTGTTCTGGGGCTGTTGGCTCAAGTGTTGGAGCATTTACCAGTGGTTGCGCTTGCGCCGGTAGTGGCACCACAAGTGGTGGAACCGGCTGTTGCCGATGGAGTTGGGGAGGCGGATCAGGGTGTGGTGATTCCGTCTTACCTCAAGGTTCTGGATCATATGGGGAGGCTAGGAACCAAGTTCTTTGCTGGAGGTTCTGCGCCTATTGAGGCTGATGAGTGGAGGATGAGACTGGAGCGGAACTTCGAGTCTATCCACTGTCCTGAGGGTTACAAGAAGGACATAGCTGTGCATTACTTGGAGGGTACTGCGCACAGCTGGTGGAAGGGAATCACCGGGCGTTTGGTGAATCCGAAATGTTCGTATGAGACGTTTTCTGCGATGTTTCAGAGTAAGTACTTCCCGCAGGAAGCTTACAATCAGTTGGAGGCTAAGTTTCTGTATCTGCGCCAAGGGACCATGACGGTTCGGCAGTATGAGACCGAGTTCAACCAGTTACGTAAGTACGTGGGATGTGACTACGACACTGAGGATAAGCTAATCCAAAGGTTCATGAGTGGGCTAAGAGTTGAGCTAAGGAACGGTTGTCTGGTGCGTGACTATGCGACGGTCACTGAGCTTGTGGAGAAAGCAGCACTGTTGGAATCTGGACAAGCAGATGAAGCTTTATCAAAGGCGAGTACTGTGGTTGCCGTGGCCAAGAGTGGTCAATCGTCTGGAGGACAGAACCGCAGGTTTGGGAGGAATGTTCCAGCCAAGTCTAGTGGGAACCGCAGTGTGTGTGGATCATGCGGAAAGGTGCATGTGGGCGTTTGTAGGCGTTCAGCTGGGGCTTGTCACCGTTGTGGAAGCTGGAAGCATCAAGTGCGGGATTGTCCTGAGCGAGACACAAGGATGGCGAGAGTGTCGGATGGAGACAGCATTTCTGTTGTGTGTTACGGTTGTGGAGAACCGGGACAGTACAAGCGTGATTGTCCGAGGTCAGGAGCAGCTGGGCAAGCCGCTTCTCAGGCTAAGCGTGCAGGAGGTGCACTGGCACCGGCGGCCAAGAGGCAGGCCATCATGCTGAGAGTGTATGCAGCGACCGCATACGGAAGTGGAGATCCGAGCGTTTCTCGACCGATCACTGGTGAGTTCTAGTACTTACAGTTTTTTGAGTTCTGTATGTTGCTTGTTGTCTGTGTCTGCGTGTTCTGTTAAGTGTCTTAGCATTCTAGGGGTTGAATATGTAGGGACCTTATTAATGGGTGAGGTAGAGACCCATGTTCTGTTTGACTCCGAAGCGATCATTGTTTTGTGAATCCAAAGATGATTGGAAAGGGAGAATTCCAGAAGGAACCCGGAGAGGATTTTGGGTTAGTGAGGGCGGCTGGAGGCCAAGTGATGTACGCACTAGGAATGGTTAAAAACATTTCTGTCTGGATTGGCAAAGTTAGTATGCCAGCAGATTCGGTAATCTGCAATGTTAAGTCTTATGATGTCATCCTCGGAATGGATTGGCTTAGTAAGTACAAGGCGCATCTGGATTGCCACCGTGGAAGGGTAAGGTTCGAAAGAGATGGCGAGGTTCTGGTGTATCAAGGAATAAGACCGACTTCTGGTAGCTTGGTTGTGTCAGCAATACAAGCGGAGCGTTTGATAGAGAAAGGGAGTGAGGCATACCTAGCGACAATATCAATAGATGAGGTTGGACCGGATGTGGAGTTAGGAGATATTCCAGTGGTACAAGAGTTTGAGGATGTTTTCCAAGCTTTGACTGGAATGCCACCGGCTCGTTCAGATCCGTTCACGATTGAACTTGAACCGGGGACAGCTCCGATATCGAAAGCACTGTACATAATAGCACCGGCCGAGATGGCTGAGCTGAAGAAGCAACTGGCTGAACTTTTGGACAAAGGTTTTGTAAGGCCAAGCAGTTCACCATGGGGCGCACCTGTTCTGTTTGTAAAGAAGAAGGATGGAAGTTTCAGGTTTTGCATCGACTACCGAGGGTTGAACCGTGTAACTGTGAAGAACAAGTATCCACTCCCAAGGATAGACGAGTTGTTGTACCAGCTCAGGGGTGCTACTTGGTTCTCGAAGATTGATTTGGCTTCAGGGTACCACCAAATACCAATAGATGAACCGAATGTTCGAAAGACTGCCTTTAGGACAAGGTACGGTCATTACGAGTTTGTGGTCATGCCGTTTGGCTTGACAAATGCGTCAGCTGCATTTATGAAGCTGATGAATGGCGTGTTCAGGGGGTACTTGGATGAGTTTGTGATTATTTTCATAGATGACATTTTGGTGTACTCAAAGAGTCCGGAAGAACATAAGAAGCATTTGCGGATTGTTATGGAAAAGTTGCGAGAACAGAAGTTGTTTGCTAAGTTGAGTAAGTGTAGCTTCTGGCAACGGCATATTGGGTTCTTGGGTCACATTGTAATGGACAAGGGAGTGTCCGTGGATCCGGAAAAGATCAAGGCTATTGCGGATTGGCCGAGACCCGAGAATGCATCAGAGATAAGAAGTTTTCTAGGATTTGCTGGCTATTATAGGTGTTTTGTGAAGGGCTTTGCGAGTATGGCTTAGTCAATGACACGTCTGACTGGTAAGGATGTTGAATTTG